AGGTGTATGAGGTTTCTTCCTGTCCCCAGCTCATTCCTGCCCAACTCACTCATGGGTTGCAGTGGACGGTGCAGCTGGGAGGGGCTCTCCCTCCGGCTACACATTACCATTCCGGTTCAGGGTGCGCCGGCGCTGGCTGGACTGCATGCTCAGGACCAGGTACTGCCTCATAAACTCACTGAACCGCTTCTGGTTGGCCAGCTTCCGGGCCGACTTCCGGGCCCCGGTGAAGCCCCCAAACCTCTTCTGCAGCTGCTTCTGCTCCTTCTCTCCAGCCTCATCCGTGCTGGGCTCGGCCTCTTTCTGCTCTTGGAACAGGCTCCTGACACGGGGCATTCGTTTCAGATGCATCTCGGAGGCTCTTGGCTGGTAAAGAGCAGCTGCCAAGTGCTCTGGGTGAGCAGGGCCGAGCTGCCAGGAGCCCCTGGCCATGATCTTGGTGCATGGAGTCCAGAGGGGGCTGGACAAGACCTTCCCTTCACACTCCAGGATGCACACCTGCAAAGACAGATGGGGGGAAGGGAGACATCTATTAATCCAAGGCAATGAGGAGATAGAGTCCCTCTATCTTCTATATCTGTACCAATGCAAGTACTTCTAAAGCATCTACATGTAATTATTTAGGTTCATGGAGTTTCAAAGTTGGAAAGAGACAGTAAGCTACCTGGCCCAGCTCCATCATTTCACAGATGAAGAAACTTGGGCTCAGAGATGTGAGGTTAACTTATCCCAGTGACACAGCAAGTCAACGCAGAATGCATGCCCTAAAACTGTATCCTGTTATAGCCTTAGTTGGGTTTTTGGAGCCAAACACAGCTCATGAGGGAAGACTTTTATTGTGTTCTTTTATCAGGCTTGGGAGAGATCAGATTGGCTTAAGAAATTGGGGATGCCAAAGCACGTTGTTAAATCTGCATGGTTATTTTAAGGTCAGTAGGAAAAGATCAATCCTGGCATTAATTTTTCACACCCCACACACTAGTCATCACTATCTGTGCATGATTTATAGAAAAGGAAGGTCAAAGCCCTTTGGGATGCAGGAGGCTAGGCAATCGGTTCCAGGTGGGGAAGAGGGGCCATCAGATATAATCCGGCAGACCTGTCTGTGCCCTGTAGTCTCTATCTGGGGAGCAAAAACAGTCACCCAGCTGTTCAGAGTGGCACAGATGCCTCTGTGGGTAAGGTTTCCAACCTGACCCCTACCCAAGGAATGAGATGTGCAGGCAGCTTAGATCACACACCTCTAAGGCTATTCCACCAAACCCTAAAAGCTTCTTCAATCCTTCTCCTGCATGTTTTTGCCATTCCTGACCCTCACCTCTTTCTGTCACCGCTTGATCTCTCAGTCTCTTCGTGTCTCTCTGAATAGCACCTTGTTCCCTAGTTGGCTCGGGTCTAGAACCCTGGGCATACCTTCAGTGTCTCTCTTCTCAGAAACCCCATCCCCCACCCAATCAGTGTATGTTTGCCCTCCTTCCCACCCCTCCTTCCTAAGGACCTCTTAGGGCGAGGTGGCGCCTAAGTGAGCTCTCCACCTCTGATCTTACTGCTCTGAACCATTTTCTAGCCCTTGCAGAATAATCTTCCTGAACAACAGGTCAAATCACATCATTACCTGCCCCATAACTGTCCAATATTTTGTCTTTGTCCATAAGTATAACTTCAAACTCCTGAGCCGAGCATTCGAGCCCCTTCCCCAGCCAGTCCTAGCCCAACTTTCAGTCTTATTTCTGATTCCTCCTCAACTCTCCTTCCCCCTTCAGGCATATGGGCCTATTCCTAGAGCCTCAAACATACTAAGGCTCCCCCAACCCCCACCATGCCTTTTCTCAATCTGTTCCCTCTGATGGAATGATCTCCTGCCACCTCCCTTTGGGGCCAGCCAGGCTCCAGTGCCACTCCTCTGAGATGTCTTCTTCTGGCTCCCTGGCCGGAAAGGCCCTTTCCTACCTCTGTGCTCCCACAGGACTTTGTGTTGCTCTTGAGGAAATTTGAATGCCTAATATTATTGTGATGTCTTACAAGGCAGAATATGACAAGTTAGGGACCATCTCTTACTCATGTTTGAGTCCTTTATAGGAATCTTCTCCATCCAGTAAATAGTAGGGTTTCCCTAAAGGTTTGTTGCCCTGAGCTGAATTAATCAAGAAGCCACTTTATGTTTAGCTAAGTGTGGAAAGGGGAAAATTTTTTTTAAGAAAAGAACAGAACCCTGGCTGGTGTTGCTCAGTGGTTAGTGTCAGCCCATGCACCAAAGGGTCGCGGGTTCGATTCCCAGTCAAGGACACGTACCTGGGTTGCAGGTTTGATCCCTGGCCCTGGTTGGGAGGCAGTCAATCAATGTGTTCTCTCAAGTTTATGTCTCTCTCTCTCTCTCTGTCCTTCCTTCCCTCCCACTCTATCTAAAATCAATGGAAAGATATCCTCGGGTGAGCATTAACAAAAAACAAAACAAAAACAAAGGAAAGGAAAGAAAAAAGAAAAGAGAGAAGAGTCACTAGAAGGCCAGGAGTTGCAGGCTAGGGACCTCTTCACCTGGCTGTAAGCTGTGCTGTGGGGAGTCTGTACGCATTCAGGTATCTAATGCTGGGAATACAAAGGGGAGCCCCTAGTGAGGATAAGTGGAGGNAAGAAAAGAAGAGTCACTAGAAGGCCAGGAGTTGCAGGCTAGGGACCTCTTCACCTGGCTGTAAGCTGTGCTGTGGGGAGTCTGTACGCATTCAGGTATCTAATGCTGGGAATACAAAGGGGAGCCCCTAGTGAGGATAAGTGGAGGGAATCGATAGGACAAAGGAGGGGATCTGCAGCTGAAGTCACCTAGTGGCCACACTGGGAAGTGGCCCCAAGTCTTGTACAGCAGCAAAGCATGGCTTAGAATGCTATTGCCAGGAGGGATCTTCAGCTGTACCTGGTCCAAAGGGTCCCACATCTGGGTGTGAATCCAAATCATTTACAGAATTTTTAAAAACACAGAATTTCAAAACCCAGTTACATCCCTGAAGAACAGAACTAGGGCTTGCATTGATTTCTACAAAGCTCAGGTAATTCTGAAATTTGCCCAGGTTTGGAAACCACGGATGTAGTCCATGTTCACATGTTACAATAAGATTCAGTAATGCATCCAAAACTACACTGTTAGGGCGAGAACACAAATGTCTCGAGTCCCACCTCAGGACATTTCCCACTCAACGATTCGTGTGTGCTTGCAATAGTCCGATCCGATGGAAATGAATGGGGGGATAGGATCCTACGAGACCCAAAGGTAAAGTCCTGATGGGAAAATTGCTGGACCAGGGAGGAGAAAGAGACAGAATCCAGTGGGGGTGCCACCCTCCTTCACTGGTAAGGTGTCCAAGGAGCACCCTTTGCCAAGCCTGCGTGCTAGCCAGAGGTGGTGATGTTGGCACCTACTGATAGTCAAGCCGTGGTTTTTCGAGCAGGTCTTTTCCATTAGCTTTTCTTCAGAGAAGCTGGCAGAAGTAATGCGTGGTCAGTGCCAACTCCGCTGAGATACCTAGAGAAACCTCTTTTTCACACCACAGTGTCACTGAGTATGAAAGAAGGGTAGGCGACTCCCATAGATGGGGAGGGTGGACTTGAGAACAACCGTAGCTGCAAAGTTGATTGCTCTGGAAGGGTCGCTACTGGAGTTTGCTAGGATGCGAATCCTTAGCCTATACCCCTGGAGATTCTGCTTCAGGAAGCCAAGGGTGGGGCCCAGGAATTTGCATTTTTTTGCAAGCACTCAGGTGATTCTGAGGCTGGACTATGAGAAATCCTTCCTTGGAACTTGCTCTGGGGAGGAAGAAACCATCAGGGAACATGGTGCTCAGAGATTCCATCAGAGACAGGCTCACGTGGCTCTGTACGTAGCCTGCTCCTGAAACACTTTGAAGAAAACCGGGCAGAACCAATTTGTAACATGTGCTTTCAGATTATAATCCTCTTGGGTTATTAGTCTACGGCAGTGAGTGTCAACTGGGGGAGGTTTTCCCCTTTCCCCCCACCCCAGGAACATTTGGCAATGTCTGGAGATATTTTTGGTGGTCACACAGGGGATGGGTAGGGGGGATACTATTGCTATCTGTGGGTGGAGTCCAGGGATGCTGCTAAACATCCTACACTGCACAGGACAGCCCTCCCCCCACAACAAATAATTACCCAGCCTAAACTGTCCTCAGTGGTGAGTCTGAGAAACTGTACTCTGCAGAGTCAAAGGGAAAGCAGGAAAACATGCGTAGCAGCACTTGGAAAGCCAGGAGGAGTGTAGAATTTTAGCATTGAAATGGACCTTGGGGCACACCCGGTCCAATCCTCGCAGAATAGTACCCCCGAAATGCTTGCTGAATTGTCCTATACGTTCAATTTACAGGAACAGGTGGAAGTTGTTAAACCTAAAGGCTATTAGATCTTCTGCAAGTCCCTGGGGTTTCTAGGCCCAGATGGTAAGGAGATTGTGTGTCAATCAGAGGAAATGAAATTCTATGATCAAACCAGATGCATAGCCCCATACCAAGACTCGTCATACTGTTAGATGAATTAGTTACTAGCAAAATCATCTCAACTCGTGATTTAGGAGGTTTTAGGCAAATGTGAGGAATCCAAATTCACAACAGCATTTGTAGCACCAGATGGGCATCGGAGCTTAATGCCGAACCGTCTGGTCTGAGGGACCCACCAGCCTCTTTCCAGAGATGGGTTAATAGCCTATTAAGTGAGCTGGCCGCATTTTCACAGCCCACACTGATGACATTGCTATATTAAGCCAGAGTGTGGGAGAGCATCTGGAAAGTCTCAGATTGATGCCAAATTGATCTGTAAAGCTGGGCTTGTGGGGAAACTGAGCAAAGGGCCACTTGGGTGTCTGGGATCACAGACTAGGGAACAGGCACACAAGGCCATTGGAAGGAAGGGAAGCAGCTCATTCAGGTTGTCAGGTCTCTGCCACTAAAAGAACCAAACCACTTCTGACCAAGAGACACCCAGGGGCTGTTTGCTTTAGGAGGTTCTGCTAGAATACCTGAGGGCCGGCTCTAGTGGCCAGCAGATGAGAAGTGCAGAAGAAAAACATGTAAGAATCTCCTACTACAAATCAACAACGAAGGGTTGTCATGTGATGAAGATAGAAAGCACTAACAGAGGGCAGTTTCTTTTGCTCCTAGAGATTTAGGAAGTTTTAAACTTCCCCAGACCTCTCTTGAGGGTTACCTTGTTCTTTGTCTCTAAAACATGTAGTTTTTTTCTCTCCTTGAGCTGATATGGTAAAGCGCCATTTGCAATTAGGTGAAAGTCCAGGACATTGCAGTGGGCTTTGTATGTGAGTCATTTACTGACCAAAATTATAGTTGGAGCAAAAGCCAGCCATACTTGGACCATGGACTTGGGGTGAGAAATAAAGGCATTCTTGATGAAGTAAGGGGTCCAAAAGGCCCCAGAAATTGCTCAGGATTATGTAATTTGGTGGAGGGGTTGGGAAAGTGACTCTTGCTGAACCAGCTGAGACCCCCTCACC